GGTACACTTTTATCTTTTTTCTCTGCTTCAGAAGTTCCTAACATTTCGATTTCTGAAATTAACTTGCATTTTCAGATGACTCTAAGTTTGGGCAAAAGATGCTGGAGAAAATGGGATGGAAGCCGGGTTGTGGATTGGGCAAGTATGAGCAAGGAATTACCAAGAATTTACGACCGAAGGCAAACGTTTCAACGAGAGGTTTTTTTTTTGTGTTGCAGTCTAAACATTTTTCAATATATATATGGAAATATATATATTGAAAACTCAATAAGGCATTTATACTTGAAATTCAAAAAAAAATGTGCTGAGTTCTCATTACTCGAAAAGGTTTGTTTGGGCAGGTCGGTAAAGTTGGCTTAGACGCTTGGTCTTGAATCTTCTGGTTCATTTGGAAAGCAGATGTAAAAAGTTATGGCTGGAACGGTGGATTCAGCTTAGTTTGCAAGTTTCGAGATTGCTATAGAAATGAGGTAAATGTGCTTCCTTTTGAAACGGTTTTCAATTACAGAATTTTGAAGCACTGATATTGAAAACTCTATTGTCACAGTAATGCTCGAAACTGTATCCGATTCATTGAGGAACGTGAAGAAAGGAAATAAGACATATGATCTGTGTTTTTGTTAGATCAGTAAAATTATATCGCATTAATTCAATGGAAATGTAATTTAGACATCCGAAAGATCGTTATGATGCTTTGAAAGACTTCTCTCATATTGCATTTAAAATCTTGCTAAAAGTTTTGACTTCAGGCTTAGGATGTACTGAAAGAAGCGATGAAGTTTTGATTGCCCATCATGACAGCTTTGCAGCTATTTTGGCTGATTTAAATGAAAAGAAAGAAAAGTCAAAAGTTAAGGAAGTCAACAAAAGTTTGAATAAAGTACAATCAGAAATAATTCTGAATGAGTATGTTTTGATCATATTGTCATAGTTTTAAGAAAACCATGACAATATGATCTATGAAATATCATATTGTCATGGCTTAAAAGAAATGCGGGAAAATTAAACTTTGGTAGCTTTTCAAATAAACGCTCTAGAATGCTGAAAGAAATGGTTCTCTTTATAAAGGTGGATGGGACTTTAGTTGAGGAGAACTGCTAAGGAAGATTTCGTTTTCATGTCTAATAAATAAGCATCAGGAATATTTATAGAAGGTTTGAATAATAGAATTTTGTAGAAAAATCAGTCTTAAACAATGATCATATTGGTTAAATAAATTCGTATTATTTTGAAATATGTTGATCAAATCTTTTATCGAGAATTGGCAATTAGGCAATCAATAATGAATTTTTCCCATATCATTGTTAATAGTTTCATATTTCAGGCACAGAAGCGACGGATATAGCGCAAAAATGTCAGAAAAAGATAAGTGTGCTATTTTTGGTAGGAGATCAGCGAAGAGAACTGATAATAAAAACATTAAAGAGAAAGATGAAGTTAGTTGACCTTACTCTTTGTTGCAGTCTAGAAATTTTAATTGTAAGCAATTTTATTCTGAGCAAGCGCTAGTCGTTTTTTTTTTTTTGAAAAGTAATTTATTGACGAATGACCATTATCACGTCTATCATAAGGATCTAACATTCTCTGATGAATATTTTATTATCTGAACGCAAATTTTAGGTTAAATCGGAACCATTATCTGGAAACATAACTATAAACAAGATTTCGATTAACGATTATTTTGCCGAAAAAATGCTAGAATTGAACAAAAGGCGGAAATTTTGATATGTTTAGTAGTTCATCGTTCTTGTTCATTGTTCATATCCGATTAACAAATAAACATTTATTTGATTCTTAACAGTTCCTCTCTGAAACATTTGAAATGGCTTCGACTTTGAGATTTCAATTTTAAACAATGTGATAAATTTTCGTAATACTGAATCAATGAAGTTAAACTGTGTGATATGGAACGATTTAGCTTGAAATGCCAAGTTATTTTTTTTTCTGCGTCTCATGATATATTTTCCAGGTCATCTGAGGAATTTTTTTGCATTTATGGTGACAGATATGACACTTGTCGAAGAAAAATGGCTAAAGAAGTTTGCCTATTATAGGTCAAGGAAATGTACTTTGCGAAGATATACAGTTACACTTCAACCTTGATTAATAGCTATCCATTCCAAAGATTATTTTATTTTCGTTGGCGATACTTTCAACATTATGCAACAAATATCTCTAGAGAAGTACCGTTATTCCAACAAAAATGTCCAAAAGGTTTAGAAAATACATTGTATAATACCTCATTGAACACTCAGGAAATTATTACTTCAAAGGAAATTTTATGAAATTTGTATTTACTATGGATCAATAAGTTTTTAGATTGACATACATCTTCGTATTTTTGGTTTCATTTAACTTTAACATACATTTCACCATTATTTAAGTTTGTAATTTTGAAAATTTCATTAAAATTATGTGCGTTTAGCTTTTTTTTTTCTGGACTATCAGAACAAGACTGCTCATTTGATATATTTTTTCTTATTGTCATAATCATTTCCCAGAAATGAATGAGTATCAAATTACCATTATCAAATAAACATGTGACGCTTGTAATTATTTTGATTATTTTGATTTAGTTATTTAATTAAAAAGTTGTTATTAGTGGTCGCGTGAGAGTTTCAAAATATTTCAATATTTTATATTCGTAATAGGAAGAAGAAAAATGCATTAATTGCATTTTTAAGAACAAAAATCATAGATTGTTTCCAATTAAATTAATTACAGTGTGGTATGAAATAATTCTCATACGAATATATTTATAAGTGAGAAGCATAATAATAGGTTGACAGCCTTTCTGTCCTAGTTGAAAACTGGTCTTTGCGTTGACATTCGTTGATGATAAATTAATCATTACCAAAAATGTAGTTTCGAAGTCATTGCCGAAGTAGTGAAAGAAGGCCAAAGAATTGATTTCCCTACTGTAGCATAATATGATTTACTTACAAATGAAATAATCAGCAGGAGTAGAAGTAACAAAATATGAAATGTAATAGATATGTTATAAGTGAAATTTTTTTTAAACTTTTTGAAATTTTCAAAAAATCAAGTCGTTTTTTTTTTAAATACAAAATGGAAACAAATAATGACGAAAAACTATTTAAAAAAAGAGGAGAAATTTAATTTGCATGTATATAGCGCGAAAACCTGGAAGTTATTTGATGAAAGCAAATTTTTACAATTTTTTTTTCATATTCTGTTGACATTTTTAATAAATGAATGTTGAAATTTTTAATAAATAAATAAATAAAGTAAAATAATTTATCAAAATTATATCATACTTTAATCGATGATTTCGTGTAATATATAAATTGTTTGTTTCTTCGTTTCATTCAGTAAATTCTCTTTTTTTTTCACCCCAAAAGATTGCGATATGTCTAACAGCAATGGTAGATAGATTTGTGGAAATTAAATCGATAGATGACTTAGTGGAATTAACATTAAAATATTCCATATTGAGGAAAAGTTTTAAATTTGGAAAATTTTTCCAAATACTTTCAATGCAATTTATAACTTAACAATGGTAAATTGAATGTATGGTGTGGGAAGAATTACAGGAACAATTAAAATTTTCCATAAAATTTCAACGGAAATTTGAGGACAACAAAAACCAGAAATGTATATTGTCATTAAATATAATCTAAGGTAGATTTACTATTATCTAAATATAATCTAAGGTAGATTTACTATTATCTATCTACATATTTATATATATGAAATTTTAAATTAATTCCTATTTGGATCAATTCTTATATTTATTATTCAGTTTTAATGATATGAATAATTTTTCTGAAACAAACAGTTATCAAAAAACGATTTCTGCCATGGATAATGTTTGAAAAAGAAAAAATGTATTATTTAAGCTCATTGAATTTTGATACATGCATAATCGGAGATTTTTGATCACGATGAAATAAACAATGAATTTGAGCATGAATTGTTAATCAATTAATTAATTAATATATATCATTAATATATATATATATATCATCACGGGTACAAAATGTGTGATAATAAGATACAACATAATTGTTTCAGTATACAGTGTGATTTGAAATTTTTTTTTTGTCTGTAATGAATGAAAGATAGCAAAAATTTTTGTAATCATTTGTGATGTAAAACAAAATATGCATAGTACTATAAACAACTATAAAAAACCGTAATGTTTGGTTGAATGTTGTTGGAATTTTGCTAAACGTTGTAAATCACTAGCTAAACGATCTACTTCACGTGGATCAACGCGATGACCATGATCGGACCGTGTAACACTTCGAATTGATCGTGTAGAACGTGTCTGAAAACAAAAGTAAATTGTTTATTGTTGTTGCTGTTTCTTTTCGATTATTTATTTCGTAATTCATCTTCAACATTTTTTTATTGATATTTATTTCTTAAAAAATAGTTTATTCTATTAATATATTATTCTATTACATTTCATACTTCGTTACTGAAAAATTATTGCGATTTCATACTTCGTTACTGAAGAATTATTGCGATTTTCCTTTTTTTTTTTGCATATTTCTGTCGGTTTCAATACCAATTTTTAAATAGCTCAAATCAAATTAATCGGTTTATTGAATTATTCATTCAATCGATTACGTTTACAACAATATCAAATGCTAATTTCAATAATTTTCTATGCTACTAAATTACTTGAAATTTAGCTTATTTTTGCATTCGTCTGCTTCAACCGGAAATGATAATAGAGCTTAAATTAAAATTTAAAATTTTCAGATAGGAAAGAATTTAGTGAAAATTGAGAAATTGCAAATTGAGTCTGCAAGAATTCGTAACTGTCATCAATTTTCCTTTTTAAACATTGATATGTCTGTCTGTATCAAGATTTAAGTTACACAGCAAATCCCTTCTTCAAAATTATCTTCTTTAAAATTTTCAAGATAAAATAAAATTAGCTAATTGAAAGATATAAGGCGCATTAAAAAGACTATCATCATCACAAATGAATATTAATTTTGCTCTGCAAAAATTTTAATTCATAAATATATTTGCTATTTTATTTGAAAAAAAAAATCATAGAAGGAAGGATAAGATTAAAAATGAAGTGTGAAAAATTCGTGAAAATTTCATTTTCTATTTCAATATTTGAAATTTCAACAAATTTCTTTTTTTTACCCTTTGAATTGTTGTGAAATCGGAAGCAGGCCGTGTTTTGATAATTACTTTCAGTTGGCTTCGATTTCCCATGAACCATTCATGTTTTACGGCATCAGTTGCACTCAATCGTGTATCCGGATCCGTTTCTAGCAGTGCATCTACGAAATCTTTTGCTAATTCTGAACCGGACCAGAACTAAAATTTTTAAAATATCCAATGTTTCATTCTTTTCAATTACATCTTCAATTTCTTTTTAAATACTTCAATGATAAATTCTAATTTTGTACATCCAAAATACATCTAAAATGCTCCAAAATTCACATACCAATTTTATTGGTATATGCGGAACGAAGAATAATAAGCTTCAAATTTATTGAAATTTTAAAATTATTTCAAAATCGTTCATTTAGTGAAAATTTATTTTTCTCTCCTAATTTAGTTAATTTTACAAACTGTAGCAAATATTTTTCATTCAAAATTACTAAATAATACACAAATAAGTGAAATTAAACCTGAGGATAATAAATATAATTAGCTGTGATAATTTGTGTATACAGTCGAGATCGACAATCATCATCGAATGGCATTATGCCGGACATTAAAATATATGCAATAACGCCAACTGCCCACATATCCACTTTATCGGTATATGCGGAACGAAGAAGAACCTTCAAATTTATTAAAATTCTAAAATCTTTTTTCTTCAAAATGATTCGCTTAGTAAAAATGAATTTATCAAAAAAAAAAACTATCTAAAAATTTTTGAAATTAAATATCAAAGAAAAAAAAATGTGAAAAAAAAAGTTGCATCCTACCTCGGGAGCAATATATTCCGGTGTACCACAAGTTTCGGTCATTTTTTCTTCAGATGTTTGCGCCTGATAAGCTAAACCAAAATCAGTAATGAGAAGCCTTGCATCAGGTGTTGTGTCACTGTACAATAAATTTTCCGGTTTCAAATCTCGATGTGTCACTCGAATGCTATGCAAATAAGCTAAGCCATTTAAAAGCATTCGAAGAGCTTGTCGAGCTTCTGTTTCCGAATATCTTCCCTTTGCTACCACACGATTATACATTTCACCGCCACTTGCCATTTCCATTACAATAAATAATCGTGATGAAGATTTAAATACCTACAAATTTATTTAATGCCATAATTATTACTATTCACAAATTATTTTCAATCTGTAGAATTAATAAATATAATTTTTCAACCAATACTTTTTTATATTGTTTCTAAAATTCATTTCAAAATTAAACTGATCATATCCTTATAGAGTTCATTTCGTTTAGAAAACAAAAAAAAAACCAAACAAATGAACAGGGAGAGAAATTTGAGAAAATACTTCTTCAAGTCTAATCACATGTGGATGCTGTACACGACTTAATATTGATAATTCATTATTTACAGTACCACAATCAGATGAAACCAATTTTACGGCATAATATTTATGCGTAAGTCGATGTTGTACCCGAAGAACCTATAAATGGTACTCATTTTTAGTACAATTTACAACAAAACTAATAATTTTTCACTTCTTTTAATAGCTAAATATTTGTTGCATCATTATTTCCTCTGTTATTTAACTTATTGTTACGTCATTTGACGTATT